AGACTTAGAAGAGATATCTTGGCTACCCCTGTTTGTTGGTTTAGAGTAGGGTTGTTTTGTTCAATTGAGATGGATTCCTTGATTTTTCATTTGTTTATGTTTGGTTCTTTGTTTAAAATTACTGTGTTTTTAATAGATATACTATGGTTTTTTGAGTTGCAATGGTGGAAAACATGGGACAGTTTTTATTGCGTTCTGTGACTGTGTACATCAAAGTGTAAACATCACACTTACTCATAAGCATGTCAGGCCTAAATTCCACTTTTACTAAAAAAATAGTATTGAATCACTACATAATAAAACTGCTACACTGGCAATAAAGAGACAGCCCTATTGAAACTACTAGCCATCAAAATAAAAGGTTTTTATCTTATTTAAATATAATTCTAACTTACACAGATGTTACGACAGCGGAAGTCATGTGACGCTGGTGACACATGATGAATTTCTCGAATGATCATGAATAATAGGGGAGGCCTGAGTTTATTTGAGATGCCCCCTTCGTTGGTATATAAGCCTGGCAGAGAAAGCCTGTGGGAATGAATGAAGAGAGTTCCCGGTAATTTACGATTCTGTTTCGAGCTAGTGTGTGTTTGAGATTGTGAATCGCTGTGATTTATAGTGTGTATTATAAAAGTAGTTGAGAAACGTACTGATTGTGAAATTACTGTGTGCTAAAAGTTTGTATCGAGGAAGAATAAACTGGTTTAACCAATAAAGGACTTGTATTATTGAAGTTTCTCGGAAATTAACAAACAGGCAGATATGCAACAAATTGGTGTCAGAGAATGGGACGGAAAAAAGAAGAAGATGGAAACGAGAATTGGCAAATCAAACTACAGCTTAGCAGATTTGATGGCAGCAATACAAGAACAGCAAAAGAAACAAGAAGAATGAGAAAAGAAACAAGAAGAGAGACGACAGCAGTGGAAAGAAAACCTGCAACAGTGGCAGCTCAAACAGCAAAATAAACAAGAGAGACCACAGCAATTGTTGGAGGAAAAAGAAATGAAACAAAAAGAACGAGAAAATAAACAAGAAGAGAGACTACAGCAGTTGTTGGAGTAAAAAGAAACGAAACAAGAAGAGAGACTACAGCAGTTGTTGGAGTAAAAAGA